TACGTTTAATGTACATTTAATATACACTATTAACATGTTGCGATGCTAAAAAATAAGCAAAAAGCAGTTCGATAAGTAAAAAACACGTGTGTTTGGCGAAATATGTTTTCGCTATTGCGGGATTTGTGTATATCAAAAAAAAAAATCATTTGTAATTAAAATTCATAATCTTTCATATTTGTATTGAACAAACTCCTAATTAATAGGAGAGAGAGAGGGAGAACAAGAGAGAGAGAGAGAGAGGCTAAGAGAGAGAGAGAGGCGTACCTCCACAAATTAAGGAAGAGTTGCATTTCAGTTTGGTAACTGAAATCTTGGCTTTTTTTAATTAATTACCATGTAGTTGGTAAAAATACAATAAAATATATATCCATGATATAATTACAATTACTTTCAATCCGTTAAGTAAAAAATTTTCCCAAAACTATATAGGTGGCTTCTCCCTCAAAATTGATGGTCCTCGATCTCATGCCTAAAAATTTTATGGCCACCATTTCTTTTACATATAATATATATTTGTGCCAGCTCAAGTTATGATGATCCGAGTAGAAAAAAAAAAAATTCTAGCTTGAGGGTTATTAAAAATTAAAATCTCAATCATGTCACACATGGTACGCAAGCATATACTGTACCTCCAATAACTACAATACAAGTTAAGTAAAACCGGCACTCTATTAATTAAAACCCATTAAGTGCTCATATCAGATCTCGCACATTTTTCGCGAGGAAAATCGACCTGCTGACTTTCTTGTTGGTATTGGGACATCCACCAACTAAAGGTGCATCTTCCATCCTGACGATACCCCTTTTCGCCTCCGTACCCTTATACAGATGGACAAAATGAGATACTCCTCATTCAAAATTGCATAGCGGTCCTCACTTGTTGACGTCTTTGGCCTTCCGTGGTGCGGACTTTTTGACGGGCTTTCTCGGACCAGGAACTGACTTTTGTGTTTCTCGTTGCTTTGTATCTTTTTTCTTGTTTTTTGTTTGTTTTCATTTGACTTGATGTATATCGCACACTATTTTTGTAGACTGTGACTTTTTCAGTCATTAAATGCTCAAAAGAATGAGAAATGCTACGGTCCCGTTACAGAACCATTCTGTCGAGGTTTGTAACCGTTAGATCTGTAAGAAACTGGGGGAAAAGGAAAGCCCATATGAAGCCCAAATGGGGTTCCATCCCAAAACCAATTGGTGAAAGGAGGAGTAGCCCATTAGACTTATAAGGTGGGTCTATTTTCTATGTGTGAACGATGTGGGACAACTCAAAAGTGATATTCTAACACGCTCCCTCACTTGTGAGTCCTGATATCATGTCTCTAACCCAGACACAAAGTTGGTCGGGCTCTGATATTATGTCTCAAACCTGGCTCTGATACCATGTAAGAAACTGGGGGAAAAGGAAAGCCCATATGAAGCCCAAATGGGGTTCCATCCCAAAACCAATTGGTGAAAGGAGGAGTAGCCCATTAGACTTATAAGGTGGGTCTATTTTCTATGTGTGAACGATGTGAGACAACTCACAAGTGATATTCTAACAAGATCAACTATCCCGACGGTTACATGATGTTCTAACACAATTATAAATCTCGACGGAATAGTTTCGTAACGAGATTATAGCATCTCCCCAAAAGATTATATATCAATCGCACCTGGACGCAATATGATAGATTACTCCTAATAAAAACTAAAAGTTTAATGCCATAAAAAACCACCGAACATACAAAGCATGCCCTTATCATCAAATCATGTAGTGCTTGTCCTCCACTCACTAACTATGCACATCTTTTAATTCGATTTACATTTTTTCCCCACTACAACACCCCACATTTAAAAAAATTAAATTAAAATGCGTCCACACTGAAATACTGGAGCAACTAAATTAAAGCATCGTGGGTGTGTCACGGGCCCGTCACCTTATCAGCGAAACCGTTCACCAGCGCCAGCGCATTGCTGGTAACCTCCCTCACCCACACAGCCCGGTCGCTGACGGCCGCCTTGACCGGGCAGTCTCCCACGTCATCAAACCCATCGGTGCACGTGTCCT